GTGCAGTCAGTGTCAGTGTATGTACTGGCTCAGTGAACACCAATGTCGGTGCAGACACTGCAACCGAAGCAGTCAGTGTCAGTGTATGTACTGATTCACTGAACGCCAGTGTCAGTGTATGTACTGATTCACTGAACACCAGTGTCAGTGTATGTACTGATTCACTGAACACCAGTGTCAGTGTCATCAGTGTACCGGTGAACGCCAGTGTGACTTTATCGGTGATCAGTATACTGAAACTGCACATCCCTACCCACACCCACATCCACACCCACACCCACACCCACACCCCACACGCACACCCCACCCACACCCACACCCTCAAGAAGAAGTTTCATGAATTAAACATTCTATATAATCTATCTGCATATTGAGTGTAATATGCAGATAGAAATTCGTTGTTGTGTTGGAAAGCTAGATGTGGACAATTATTATTCTTTTTAAGAAACTACCTTCCATTTATTTTCTTGTATGTAATAATAACTATTTTAATATTCAAATATGTGTAATCGATTCTATCTATTCATAACGTGCAATACAATAAATTTCAATTTGTGAGTTCTTTGAAGGACACTATTTACTTCCAAATTTTAATAATATTGATATCCATCAACAAGCAATATGCAAAATCACCCCCGTTTTCTTCGTTCTATTCTATAGACAGCTCTAATAGTAGATAGTTTACACAGGAGAATGGATTTTTAACAATCAATAATACTGATTTCCAAATGCTTAGTAAGATTCGAAGAATCAACAACAAAAAACGTTAATGAGTTAAAACTAAATAGTCTACTAATTTATAAGAAGATAAACTGACTTTTCACGGTAACAGTTGAATAAAAAATCTGAATGATATAAGGCCACAACCTTCACAGTAATATCAGAGCACAAGGCACTGCGAAACAAACTAAGTTGTTGTTAATTCATTTTAAGTAAATCTGGCTCAAAAAGAGCTTTGTACTATTTTGAAACTCTTGAAAATGTTGCCACTGTCAAACCAACCCATACTCAACCTCGCATTATTAGATTATGTCTCTCAAAACTAACACATTACAAATTCTTCAACAGTAGACTATTCCATATGAGTACATGTTTTAAAAAATTGAAGCTGCGCTCACAGCAGAAAGAAACCGTTATTATTCTTCCGTTCTCTAAGGAGAAATCTCAAGCAATACCTTGAGAATTATGGAGATAGAATATAACTAAGAATGTTTTTTTTTCTGCAGCCTTTGTCCCATTACGTGCAAGTGCCATCGATATTCATCCAAATGCTCTTTGGGAAGAAAATGGTATTACTGTAGCTGGAGAAAATGAAGAAGGCGATGGAGCCAATCAACTCTCATTCCCATGGGGTTTGTTTGTTGATGATGAACAAACAATCTATGTCGCTGATCAAAACAATCACCGTATTGTGGAATGGAAGTGGGGTGTGACGAGTGGCCAAGTGGTTGCCGGTGGAAATAGACAAGGAAGTGGGGCTCATCGATTGTCTTGCCCACGAGATGTGATTGTCGACAAAGAGACAGATAGTCTCATCATATGCGATGGTGGGAATACAAGAGTGGTTCGATGGTCTCGCCGAAATAGGACAAGTGGAGAAACAATCATATCCAACATCGCTTGTGCGGGTTTGACAATGGACGAGAATGGATCTCTCTATGTCGTTGACTATGCAAAACATGAAGTGAGACGATATCGAAGAGAAGAATCGAAAGGAACAGTGGTTGCAGGTCGCAATGGACATGGAAAAGATTCGGATCAACTCAATGAACCATACGACGTATTCGTCGATCGAGATCAATCAGTCTATGTATCTGACTCTGGGAATCATCGTGTGATGAAATGGATGGAAGGTGCAACACAAGGCCTTGTCGTGGCTGGTGGTAATCAACAAGGAAATGGTCTTACACAATTATCAAATCCTGCAGGAGTCGTTGTCGATCAATTAGGCACTGTCTATGTGGCTGATCAAGGCAATAATCGAATCATGCGTTGGCCCAAAGGAGCTACACAAGGAAGTGTTATTGTTGGTGGAAACGAAAGAGAAGGACAATCGAATCAGCTTGATTGGCCAATCGGTTTGTCATTCGATCGACACGGCAATCTCTATGTCGTCGATCACGGAAATCATCGAGTACAACAGTTTAATATCAAATCTAATAAGTAAAGAACTAGGAAGACAAAAAAAAACAATTTTTTCTTATATTGTAAACCTATCAAACATTGTACACCCGTAAGCGTCGCTGAAATCCTTGGAATCCTTGAAAAATTATAATAAAATGTACTCTACTTATAAACAAAATATCTGACCGAATTCAATATGACTCCACACTGTTTGTACGCAAGATATCCGAAACCTTGGAAACCTTCAAAAATTTCGAGGTGCGTGGGTGTGGAATGGGCATTGGGATCGGTATGGGTGTGGATGTGGAGTGTAGGGTGTAGGTGTGGGATGTGGGATGTGGGTGATGGTTGGTGTGGGCGTGGGTGGGTGTGGGTGTGTGGATGGTGGCGGATATGGATGGGTGTGGGTGTGGGTG